TAGGTTACAGATGAAGACATCACAACACTAGGAGACTAAGCCAATTGTCCTCATTTATACACTAAGTGGTAAAGCTAGGATCTGAATTTCAAATTTACTGAGGCACATTTTCCAGTTGTTTCTTGAAAAGAGTGTTTGAGAAGTATATTTGCATGTTTGAAAATGACTTTATTATATTCTTATCCTTGAAAGATAGTTTGATAAAGAATTATATGTTGGAAATCGTTTCATTCAGAATTTTAATGACAGTGATTACAGTGTTGCTATTGGCAAATTTGAGGTCATTCTTATTTGCATGTGTTCCGGTTTCCCTCTCTGAAGTTTTTTTTTTTTTTATCCTCACCAGAGGACATTTTTCCATTTTTTGTTCAGGTAGAGTGGGAGGGAGAGAGAGGAAGAGAGAGAGAGAGAAACATCAATGTGAAAGGGACACATCGAGTGGCTGCCACCCGCACAACCGACCAGGGCCAGGGACAAACTGCAACCGAGGTACGCGCCCTTCGCGGGAACCGAACCCGGGTCTCTCCGGACCGCAGGCCGACGCTCTAACCGCTGAGCCAAACCGGCCAGGGCCCTCTCTGAGGTTTATAAGAATTGTCTCTTGAGGAGCAACACCACCAAGATGGTGACTTAGGTCATACTCCATCTCTCAAGAAGAACAACCAACAACGATTCTTGAAAAGAAACCATTGAGAGAATTCTAGAACACAAAAGGGAGGCTGAGCACATACCTGCACCAGAGACCAAGACAAACCTCATTAGAAGGAGAGAGGAGCGGCTGCATGCCGAGGGCACTGCCTCTCCCCCGGACCTGCACAGCACCACACGGACAGGTCCCCCGCAGCCTACAGTTCCTCCTGGGCAGAAGACAGCCGGGGGCCCTCACAGCTCCCCCAGCATGGCCTTGTCCCCCAGAGACTGCAGAGGAATCCGCAGGGCTCTCACACGGGGAATCTGATTTTGACAGAGAAGGGGAAAGAGCTTGCAACAACCAGCGCTCAGATCTAGGCATTCTAAGATCCCACAGGCAGAGCCCAGGCAGTGGTCCAAACCAGCAGTTTTGCTCATCTGTAGCACCAAGTCTATTGTTCTGACCAGGGGACTAAAGTCTAGCCCACTACTGATTGTAGCTCCTGACCAGAAAGGCTGGCAAGAGCACCTGGAGTCCACATAACCCACAGAACAGAGCCAGTGCTGAGGGTAGTGTTCCCCTGCTACACTCAGGCAGGGGGTTAACTCACCCACTGCTGAAAACACGAGCAGGAAAACTGGGAGGTGCTTGGAGCAGATGTGGAGTGAAGTCCAGGCCCCTTCTGGCAAGAGCAGGTGGAAGCTGAATAGCCCAGCAGCACTTGAGCAGAGAGGCTGGCAAGCAGAGCTGATAGTCTGTACAGCACAGCCTGTAGCCCTGTTTGGCCAGGGAACTTGGGACATGGGTCAGTTTGAGTCAAGAACACAATGAGACTTACTGGCCTTGGAGTTGGTTCTCCCTCTGTGTCCAGACAGGGAAACTAATTTATAGTCCCACTCATTGCTGGATATGGACTTCAGCCTGTCTGACCAGGGAACCTAACCAGAGCACACAGGAAACTGTGTAGCCCATACAACAGTTTCCTCAAAAACTTAAAAATAGAAATACAATAGGACCCCAGTAATTTCATTTCCAAGAATATAACCAAAAGAAACAAAAATACTATATCAAGAAGATATCTGATAATACACAGCATGATATCTATAATTAACACCACTGTGTGATATAAATGAAAGTTTTTTTAAAGCAGATCTTAAGAGTTATAGTCATAAGGAAAAAATATATACACATATAAAATTTGTGTATCCACATGAGATGATAGATGTTAACCTATCGTGGTCATTACTTCATGGAATGTATAAGACAAATCATTCTGCTGTACAACCTAAACTTTGTGCTGTCTGTTAATTATACTCAATAAACTGGAAAAAAATGTTTCTTTATCCTTGATATTTCAAATTTCACAAATAAGAGCAGACACTGGGTGGGGAATTTGCTGGGCTTTTGCAGTCTGAAAACTCAAGGATTATTGGTTCTGAAAAATTGTTACCGTTATTTCTTTGATAATTTCCTTCCCAACATTTTCTTTGATCTCCCTTTCTGAAATTCTCACAAGGTGAACATTTGACTGCCTAAAATCAGAGAGAAAATTCTTTTTTGAATCTATCAACCACATCGTTTTATGGTCACCTAGCTAGCAGAAATGTTTTCTAACGTGTCCTCTAAATTCTCATGATTTACAGCTTATGTTTTTCATTTCCAGGAGCCCCTTCTGATTTTATAATTATTCCTTTTATATAGAATAGTCTTAACCTCTCATTAAACAAGAATTCTATTCTCCTTCAGTAGATATTAATTATATGACTTAATTTTTTTTCAGCTCTTCTTCCCACCCCTCTCACCACCACCCCCCCACACACACAATGTTGTCTTCCACTTTTTATTTGATGTGATGTCTTTCTTTCAGAATAGAGGCTTGTCTGCTATGCCATGGACTAAAAGCTGTTTGGAAGTTCTGTGTTGAGGTGGGTGGAGCATTTAGACTAGTGTTGATTACAGGGTGATGGTGTAACCATCTGGTCTGGTTCCTGTGGAGATATATATATATGCAAATATCAATTTCTATAAATATTTTCTGTAAAAATTAATCTCCAGAGAAGAATCCCTTCCATACCCTGTGAGATGCAAAGGGAAGGGAGCTACTCAAACATATAACTGGCACAGCCCAGAAATCAACCATTCAACAGGGCCTCCAGGCAGGAGAGCTGGAGCAGAGTCCCCTGCTGTGCCAGCTGCTAAACCTCTAGTTGCAGGGGGCTGGAAGGGGGTATGTCAGCCAGGTGGGAGGAGTAAGGCCGTATCAGTGTTCAGCAGCTGAATAACCAGGGGAAAGACTCTAAACAAACATGACTGTTGTAATTCTGGAGATGGGTCCGAGAAACGGCCCAGGGTTTCCCGTTCAGTATACAGACCTAACTCCCCTTTTTCAGCATGGCATCTACCTGCCTCTCCTCTGTCCCTGACATGTAGTCTTTCTTGCTCTGCTCTTCAGAAAATAAATCTCTGGTCTCCTGTGGAAGTGGGAGGAGGGGTAGATAACAGCCTGGGTTGAATTATTGGGTTGTAACCACTCCTCATACAGATTTAGATCTCCAAATTCCTGAGGGTAAACTGTCTTACTTCTGGTCAGAATGTCCATTAATATCAACCATACGATCGATGGCGACAGGAATTTACGTTTAACTTTCTCATCTATGTCTTCACATCTTATTAGCAAGGTTACAGAAATCAACCTTTTTATTGGAATCAATGTTTTGCTCTGTTTCTTATTCTACTTGTTGTTTGGGATGATTTTCAAGAAAATAGAGAAACAGAAACTACTTTACTCCACTATTTGAAACTAGTGCAACCCAATCTGTGCACTCTAAATAGGCCGTCATGCACTTTTCTCTCTTTACCTGGTATTATAGTGTTTTATGTACATGTCTTATTTCCACTACTAGAGTTCATGCTTCCTCAGAAAAGGCTATCTGCATCTTCTTCGGGACCTAACAGAGTGCCTTTTATATACCAGATCTTCAACGTGTATTTGTGAAATGGATAACTGAAAACAATAATAGGGAACCGAACAATATCATTTTTCTCTTTCTCTCTTTGTTGTGTAAATTATTTTTCTGTAGGGTATATAGGCTTGACTGTTTCAAGTTTTCTGGAGTTCAATTAAAAAATATTTAATTAATACTTAGTTTGGTTCTAACATAAGAATACAAAAAAATTATAAAGAAACAAAGCAGAGTAAACAAAAGTACAATCAATGCCCTCGAGGAAGTTATGATCCTTTAGGAGTTATAAGGGTCACAATGCAATAACTAGAGAAGACTAGAAAACAGTATTTAATGAAAAGTTACATACTTTACAATATAAGTACAAAAGTACAGGTTTCAGTCAGCTCTAGGATTCTGTAACATTCAAAGTTGTCTGCCTCTTTATTATAGACCCATCTCCTTTGCAAAATGATTCTAACATTTTCCGGAATCAGTCTGTCCAGTCACAATTTCCCAGTGAAGAGGTTTAGGAGTTAACTTTCCTAAAAAAGCCAAAATGTCATTTTACGGGCAGTGACTCTTTACTCCTTGGAACACTCATTATCACCCAGTCGGCATCTTTATTAGATTGCATTATTTATGACTTTATAAATGCTTCCTGCTATTCCAAATGGCTCTGACTTACCTTCATCAACAAATCAATAAATCATGTCTGTAACTTGGAAATTCTTCACAGTAGTTTATTACTGGCAAGCCATTTGCCAAAGAGCCAAAAATTCAGAAATTCAAGTAGTCTTGGAAAACTTGTTTTCCTAAAGCTTTGAGAGACTTACTGTATTGGTTTCTAGAATTCTTTCCAGGTCTGGGTTTCTGTGATTAGATACACACACACACACACACACATGCACAGCTGTGTCTTCATAAATCACCAAATTTGGTTTAATAATATTTCTTAAACTACCATCTCAATGACCAATATGATCACTGACTACTAAAATATTTGAAGTCCTTGTAATAACTTCAATATCAGCAGCACCATTCATATAGACTGTGTCTTATATTCAAATAAGAGATCTCCTTTCATTAAAATAGAGTGATGATTTGGAGATAGATGATAAACATGAAGAGATAAACAGTAAGACAAGTGGACTAACTCTTAATGGGTAAGAGCTTGGTCTCTGGAAAGAGAGAGACCCAAGCTTGAATCTCTGCTCTATGACTTGCTGAACATGCAATGCTGGACAAATAACCTGTTGTTTCTAAGTTTTAATATCTCTATCTGTAAAATGGGCATGATGATAACATACCTCCAAGAGGCGCTGTGTTAAATGAGATATGCATATTAAGTATATAATTCTGGCATATCATAAATGCTCAGTAAATATTAACTCCTTAATTTAGTTAAAAGTATTAAATGTTCCGAAATGCACATCTTTATGAAAGTGTATGTTGCTCAGGACACAGATGATACTCTTTTCCTTCCCTGGACCACTGAAGTGCTGGTGGTATATGACAAATCTTTCATCAGCTATAGAATGGTCTGGGTTACTATAATATAATCTACTGTCACTTTCCCAGTAATCCTAATTCTATCAATCCCAAAGTACTTAAAGTTCCCTTAATATGTCATTTTGTGTCATACCTTCAAGTCTTTATAAAAGATTTCTTTGATAGCAACTTTGCCTCCCCACCCTGTCTAACCTATAGAACTCCCATAAATCTTTCAAGAGCCAGCTCTGGTACTTCCTCCAATGTGAACTCTCTCCTGTCATGTAAAAAGCAGAATTGCTCACTTTCCTTTTTATTCCACCAAACCACTTGTAGATTCCTTGAACTACTATAACTCTACTTCACAATTATTTGTTCACATGTCACTCTCCCTGGCTCAGCCACAAGCTTGTCAAAGGTAGTAGGTACTTAGCCTTATTTATATCTGCACTGCTGATACATAGCATAGAGCCTTACATTAATCAAGAAATAAAGAAATATTGATTGAGTGAATGAATGAACAGAATATAGTATATTATAAAATGACTCATCATTTCATAGACTAAATCTGTTTTAGAGAAGCTGTATTATATTATTATAAAAATCACTAAGCAGATATACCATTTAAGAAGAGATTAAGAAGTACAGATTAGTTGCTAGGCTGATGAACCTCAAAGGGAAGTGGGAGGGAGGTGGAAATAGATAAACCAAAGAAGTTATATACATATATGCATAACCAATAGACAGAGACAATAGTCTGGGGAAGGCAGAAGGGGGGGTGGGAGAGGGAAGAAGGGGGTAAATAGAAAAAAAGGGGGAGATATCTGTAATACATTCAATAATAAAGATAAGTTTTAAATAAAGAAAACCCAAAATAACAGTGGTTTAAACAAGTTAGAAGTGTTTCTCTCTCTTATGATAGAAGTCTAGAATTAGGCAGTCAAGTCCCAATATGGGATTTCTACAGTCATTTTCATCAGGACTACAGCTTCTTCAAGCTCACGGCTATATCATCCCTAGGATGTGACTCTTTTCTTTATGGTTCAAAATGTAAGCTAGTGCTCCACCATAACTCTGATGTTTCATTATATTTCAGCAATGGAATAGAAAATGATGAAAAAAGGCAAACCCCTTTTAAGATGACATCTTGGAAATGCGCCAAAATGGCAGCAGAGTGAATGGAAGCTACACAGACCATCTCCCAGGACCAAACTGGAATTACAATAAAAATAAACACAAATCATTGGGGAAAAGCAACAGAAAAGCAGCTTGCAAGGACCATATAACCAGGGACAATGAATCGATCCTGATGGGATTGCAGAGGCACGAGAGGGGGGCAGGGAGCCCACAGACATCAGTGGCCTTAGCTGTGAGCAGAGCCCTGGGGTTACACTCCCAAGCCCACTCCACAGCGCAGAGTAGGGACAGATGCTATAATAGCCACAGCCACTCACCTTGGGCTCTGGCAGAGGGAGGGCAGACTGGACTGGAACTATGTGGGCACACTCGGGATTTGGAGAGCACTCAGAGCTATGGCTGAGTTGTGGCCACACAGGACTGTGGCCATCTTACTCCTTCCCAGGGCTCTGGGGAGAGATGGCAAATCCTCCCTCAGAGATTCAACCCCACCTTGTGGGCCACTGGAATGCAAATTGAGGCTCTTTGACAAACAGCATCTGCCCCAATCTCCAGAAATCCCGTACTCTGAACACCTGAGGGAGTTTTTCATTCAACTGAGAAACCAAGGCTTTTCAAGAAACCCCGACTAATGGCCCCCAGGCAAAAAGCTAGAGGATAAATGACCCATTCCTGGGTTTGCAACTGTACCCCGGAAAGTAAGACTTGACAGTGGGTCCTACCTCACTCATCCAAACCCACTAGAGAGAGCCACAAACAGCAGAACACCAACATGCACAGGGGAAATTTGGCAGGCACAAAAACCTACTGAAATAGCCAAAACAGTGAAACAAAGACACAAATCCCAAATGATAGAACGAGAGACCTCTACCAAAGATGAGATAAATGAACACAGTTACACAAGTTAACAGAGCTACAATTCAGAGCCATAGTATTGAGGAAGCTCAACAGCATTTGTAAGGACATGAGCACCATGAGTAAAGACATAGAAACATGGAAAATCAACCAATTGAAAATTAAAAACTACCAAGAAGAAATGAAGAATGATATAGAAGAAATGGAGAACACATTGGAAGGACTAACCAGCAGAGTAGAGGAAACTGAGGACCAGATCAGTGAATTGGAAGACAGGGTAGAAAAAAATCAACCAATCAGAACACCAAAAGAAAAAAAAAAAAAAAAATTAAAAACAGGAAGACAACTTAAGGGAACAGTGGGACAACTGGAAACGTAATAATATTCACATCATAGGAGTCCCCCCCAAAAAAGAAAATGAGCAAGGGTTACAGAATATATTTCAAAAAATAGTCACAGAAAACTTTCCTAATTTGGTGAAGGAGGAAGGCATTCAAGTTTAAGAAGCACAGAGAGCCCCAAGTAAGAATAACCCAAACAGGCCCACACCAAGACACAAGTAATTTAAATGCCAAAAATTAAAGACAAGAAGTGAATCCTAAAAGCAGCAAGAGATAGCCAACAGGTTACCTACAAAGGAAACCCCATAAGGCCATCAGCTGACTTCTCAACAGAAACACTACAGGCCAGAAGAAAATGGCATGAGGTAATCAAGGTCATGCAAAACAAGGATCTGAATCCAAGACTACTCCATCCAGCAAGGCTATCATTCAAAATAGAAAGTCAAATAAAGAGCTTTCCAGACAAAAATAGGCTAAGGGAATACATTAGCATGAAACCAGCACTGCAAGATATGTTAAAAGGACTGTTGTAATTAGTAGAAGAAATAGGAAGAAAAATAGAACCACACTAAACAAAAATGGCAATAAATAAGTACATATCAATAATCACCTTAAATGTAAATCGACTGAATGCTCCGATAAAAGGACACAGAGGAGCTTATTGGATAAGAAAGTATGATCATCTATATGTTGTTTACAAGAGACACACCTTACAACAAAAGGCTCACATAGGATGAAAGTGAGGGATGGAAAAAAAAATGTTCCAAGCAAATGGAAAGGAAAACAAGCTGGGGTAGCAATACTCATATCTGATCAGATAGATTTCAAAATAAAGGCCATAACTAGAGACAAAGAAGGCCACTACATAATATTAAAAGGATCTATCCAACAGGAAGATATAACCTTGGTAAACATATATGCACCCAGTACAGGAGCACCAAAATATGTTAAAAATTTTCTAGAGGACTTCAAAGGAAAAATCGATAGCAATACAATCATAGCAGGGGACTTCAACACCCTGCTGACATCACTGGATAGATCTTCCAAACAAAAATTAGCAAGGAAACAGAGACTTTAAATGAAACACTAGACCAAATGGATTTAATACATATCTACAGAGAATTACACTCCAAAACTATAGAATTCACATTCTTCTCAAGTGCACATGGGACATTCTCAAAGATAGACCACATGTTAGGGCACAAAGCAAGTCTCTACAAGTTCAAGAAGACTAAAATCATGTCAAGCATCTTCTCAGATCACAATGGCATGAAACTAGAAATCAATTGCAACAAGAACATGCAAGGATATTGGAACACATAGAGGCTAAATAGCATGTAATTAAACAATGACTGAGTTACCAAGGAGATCAAGGAAGAAATTAAAAACTTCCTGGAAATCAATGAAAATGAACACACAACAACTCAAAATCTATGGGATGCAACAAAAGCAGTTCTGAGAGGGAAGTTCATAACACTACAGGCCTACCTCAAAAAACAAGAAAAACTTCTAATTGACTATCTAACCTCACAACTTAAGAACTAGAAAGCAAACAAAAAGAAAACCCCAGAGCAAGTAGAACAAAGGAAATAGTAAAGATCAGAGCAGAAATAAATGACATGGAGACCAAAATAACAATTCAAAGGATCAATGAAACAAACAACTGGTTCTTTGAAAAGGTAAAAAAGATTGATGGACCCTTAGCTAGACACACCAAGAAACAAAGAGAGAGAACCCAAATACACAAAATCAGAAATGAAAGAGGAGAAGTAACAACTGACATCACAGAAATACAAAGAATTGTTAACAGATATTAAAAACAATTGTATGGCAACAAATTTGACAATCTAAGTAAAATGGACAAATTTCTCGAAACACATAGTCTCCCAAAACTGGACCAGAAAGAGACAGAAAACTTGAACAGAACAATAACAACAAAATAAATTGAAGATGTAATCAAGACTCTCCCAACAAACAAAAGCCCAGGCCCGAATAGCTTCACGGGGGAGTTTTACCGAACATTCAATAAAGAACTAATACCCATTCTCCTCAAACTATTTCAAAAAATTCAAAAAGAAGAAAGACATCTAAACTCGTTTTATGAGGCCAGCATAATCCTAATTCCAAAACCAGATAACAGCACTACAAAGAAAGAAAACTACAGGCCAATATCTCTGATGAATATAGATGCCAAAATCCTGAACAAAATACTAGCAAATCGGATCCAGAAATACATCAAAAAAATTATTCACCATGACCAAGTGGAATTCATCCCAGGGATGCAGGGCTGGTACAATATTTGCAAATCAATAAATGTGATATACCACATAAACAAAATGAAGAATAAAAACTACATGATCATATCATAGACACTGAAAAAGCATTCGACAAAATCCGGCTCCCATTTCTGATGAATACGCTCAGCAATGTGGGGATAGAGGGATCTTATTTCAACATAATAAAGGCCATGTATGAAAGACCTACAGCCCACATCATACTCAATGGGCAAAAACTAAAAGCATTTCCTTTATGAACAGGAACAAGACAGAAATGCCCACATTCACCCCTCTTATTTGACATAGTACTGGAAGTTTTAGCCACAGCAATCAGACGTGAAGAAAAAATAAATGGGATCCAAATTGGAAAGGAGAAAGAAAAACTGTCGTTATTCGCAGATGACACGATATTATACATAGAAAACCCTAAAGACTCCATCAAAAATTTACTAGATTTAATAAATGAATTTGGCAAAGTAGCAGGATACAAAATTAATGTCAAAAAATCAATGGCATTCTTATACACCAACAATGAACTCACAGAAAGAGAAACTAAAATTAATCCCATTTACCATTGCGGCAAAAAAATTAAAATACCTGGAAATAAACTTAACAAAAGAAGTAAAGAACCTATTTGCAGAAAACTTTAGGACATTGAAATAACAAATAAGGGAAGATATAAAAAGTAGAAGAATTAAATCATTAAATGTCCATATTACCCAAAGCCATCTATAGACTCGATGCAATCCCCATCAAAATTCCAATGACATATTTCACAGAACTAGAACAAATACTTCAAAAGTTTATTTGGAACCAAAAAAGACCCCAAATACCACAGCAATCCTGAAAAAGACGGACAAAGTAGTAGGGATCACAATATCAGATATCAGATTATACTATAAAGCTTCTGTAATCAAAACAGCCTGGTACTGGCACAAGAATAGTCATATAGACCGGTGGAACAGAACAGGGAACCCAGAAATGAACCCAAGACACTTTGCTCAATTAATATTTGACAAAGGAGTCAAGAGCATACAGTAGAGTCAAGACAGCCTCTTTAATAAATAGTATTGTGAAAATTAGACAGCTACATGCAAAAAAATGAAACTAGATCATCAACTTACACCATACACAAGAATAAACTCAAAATGGATAAAAGACTTAAATGTGACTCATGAATCCATAAAAATCCTAGAAGAAAATGTAGGCAACAAAATTTCAGACATCATATGCAGCAGAATTTTCACTGATACATCACCTAAGGCATTAGAAACAAAAGAGAAAATAAGCATATGGGACTACATCAAACTCAAAAGCTTCTGCACAGCAAAAGATATAATCATCAAAATGGAAAGGCAACCCACTGTATGGGAGAGCATAATTGCCAATGATACATCAGATAAGGAGTTAATTTCCAAAATATATAGAGTACTCATGCAACTCAACAAAAAGAAGGCAAAAAACCCAATTAAAAAATGGGCACAGGAACTAAATAGACACCTCTCCAAACAAGACATACAAATGGCCAAGAGATATATAAAGAAATGCTCAACATTACTAATCATCAAAGAGATGCAAATTAAAAGGACAATGAGATATCACCTCACACCTGTCAGAATGGCCACCATCTACAAATCATTGAACAACAAGTGTTGGGGAGGGTGTGGAGAAAAGGGGACTCTAGTACACTGCTGGTGGGAATGCAGACTGGTGCAGCCACTGTGGAAAACAATATGGTGTTACCTCAAAAAATTAAAAATTGAACTGCCATTTAACCCAGTGATCCCACTTCTAGGAATATACCCTAAGGAGCCTGAAACATCAATCAGAAAGAATATATGTACCCCCATGTTTGTAGCAGCACTATTTACAATAGCTAAGATCTGGAAACAGCCCAAGTGTACATTAGTAGATGAATTGATAACAAAGCAGTGGTACATATACACAATGGAGTACTATGCAGCTGTAAGAAAGAAAGATCTCTTATCCTTTGAGACGACATGGAAGGACCTGAAAAGTATTATCCTAAGTGAAACAAGCCAAGCAGAGAAAGACAAGTATCATATGATCTCACTTATTTGTGGAATATGATGAACATAACAGGCTGAGGAATTGGGTAGACCCAGAGACGTGGAAGTAGGGTGCAGACTCACAACCCTCAGAAGAGGGGTTGGTGGGGGAGAGATAAACCACAGAACTTATATGCATGTACGCATAACCAATGGACACAGACAACAAAGCCAGGGACGGGCATGGAGGATGAGGAATCAGGTGTCAATGGGAGAAAAAAAAGGAGAAACATCTGTAACAAAAATAAATCAATAAAAAAATAAAATAAAATAAAACCGAGAAAGCCCAGGCCTCTGCATCCGCAGATCTGCCTTCCACAGCAGCTGTCACTGGCGGTGGCCTCCGTCTCGCTCAGCCTTAGTTTTCTCACCTGCAGGATGAGGTGGCTAGCCTGCCGCTGGGCAGGGATTCTCTGATCCTGCACAAAACCTGGGGCTATGTCACCCAACCACAGTCTACAAGCAGAGTAAGAAAGATGTGAGCGTAAACTCACACACTAGGGGCTGCTTCTTGGGCAGAATCCCTAGATCCCAGCTCTTTGCATTCTGCCTCTGGTTACATTTATAACTTACTGGCTGCTGGAGGCCCAGCTGCAGGCCCAGAGCCGTGTCCATGAGGAGGAGGTGGAGAGTCTCAGGGCTCAGGTGAAGGCCCTGAATGAAGAGATGGACAGGCAGCTACAGACCTGCTCCCAGACACTGCTGCTTTACCCGAAGGCCCGGGTGGAATTTGGCGTCCAGAAGGAGATGTCCCGGCTGACCCATGAGAACGTGGACCTTAAAGAACTGGTAGAAAAGCTGGAAAAGAATGAGAAGAAACTCAAAACACAACTGAAGATTCACATGAATAAAGTCCAGGACCTAGAAGCTGCCCAGACGTTAGCCCAGAATGGGTAGAGGCGTCACGGACTCAACAGGCAGGTCACTGTGCAGCGGGAAGAGAAGGACTTCCAGGGATTGCTGGAGTACCACAAGGAAGATGAGGCCCTCCTCATTCGGAACCTGGTGACAGCCCCAGGCTTCGCTGTAAGTGGAACCCTTGCTGTTTGCCGCTGGCAGAGCTGAAGCCGCAGGCGCTGGCGGGCACCGTGCCCTGTCTTCCCGCTTACATCCTCTACGTGTGCGCAAGGCACGCCGACCACAGCAACGACGACCTCAAGGTGCACACCTTGCTGACCTCCACCATCGAGGGCATCAAGAAAGTCCTTAAGAAGCACAGTGATGACTTTGAGATGATGTCATTCTGGCTGTCCAGTACCTGCTGCCTGCTTCACTGTTCGCAGCAGTACAGTGGGGACAAGGACTTCATGACTCAGAACACCGCCAAGCAGAATGAGCACTGTCTCAGGAACTTTGATCTCACTGAATACTGCCAGGTACTGAGTGACCTTTCCATTCAGATCTACCAGCAGCTCATTAAAATCGCCGAGGGGGAGCTGCAGCCCATGATAGGTACAATATAAGTCAGCTTGAGGAGTGGCTTCGAGGAAGAAACCTTCACCAGAGCAGAGCGGCTCGAACCATGGAACCTCTGATCCACGCAGCCCAACTCTTGCAGTTGAAGAAGAAAACCCCCGAGGACGCCGAGGACGTCGGCTCCCTGTGCCCTCCCTCAGCACTCAGCAGATTGTCAAAATTTTAAACCTGTATACTCCCTTGAGTGAATTTGAAGAACGAGTAACATTGGGCTTTATACGAACAATCCAGGCATAACTACAAGAGCGAAATGAGCCCCAGCAGCTGCTGTTAGGCTACAAGCACATGTTCCCTGTTTTGTTCCCATTTAATCCATCTTCCCTGACTCAATCCACATCCCAGCATCGCTCAATCTGGAGTTTCTCGATGAAGTCTGAAAACACACATTTCCAACCTTGGCTCGATTGCCAGTGACAGCAAGAAGTATACAGTAAAGTGATTTTAAGGATCTGTTTAGTCTGTAAAAGTGGATCAAATCAGAGACTGACAGGATGAGCAGTGCTGAACTACACAGAATAAGAACACATCTGTCATTATTTTTTGCATCTACAGTTCAGAATAAAAACACTTGAAGTATGGGGAAAAAAGATGATATCTTGGAAATACTACATAGCAATTTAGATTATTGGTTAGAGCTTAGTCACACGACCACGTATCCTAAGGTGTATATTATTCTGAAGGATAAGTCAGTGAATCCATACTAAGAGCATCTGGCAGTCTCTTCCTCCAAAACTAATCAGATACCAACTCGATTACTTCTTTGCTTGTTAGTTCATTGCATCATGGAGGTTAGACCAAGGGTTAGCTAAGAACCCTTGCAATTCTTTCCTATTTATTTATTATTGGAAAAATAATAGAGTTTTGGGTGGTTAAAAACCAAGTTTGATATATTTAGCCTAACACTTTGTAAATATTTAACCCCCCAAAATTTGTATTTCAAAGGATTCCACCACCATCAAAACAGAAAAAAAAAAAAAAAATGTGGAAAAGAGTGACTGTAGACCCCATATTTTAGAAAAATATATATTTTAAAAGAACCATTAAAGACAGTTTTGCAATGTTAAAAATATGTCTAAGATAGTGAGATAGTGTTAGTAGCAATGAGTATTTGGGGAGTAAACATACTCATTTTTTCCATTAATCTCCCGGAGACCCCCAAATTAAAATAACATATTATCGATATAGACCACTGAGGTTTCCTCAGTTCTGTACTAAACATGAATAAGAAGAACTTTAGATATTTATTATGTTTATTGATCTGTGGCATATTAAAATAGTCTGCTTGTCAAACAAATGTAGCCCCTCGCATTCCTGACACCCCACCTCTGCCACTACCACTACCTTTGATGGCCAAAAGCCCTCTCCCCATAGAAAGTCTGAGAACCCCACTGGTATAGGCTTGCGGAGTGAGAAACTCATAGACTTTGCCTAGATTAATTCATTACATAACAAAGAATTCTTGTAGCTGCCATGTATTTAAGGCTCTTAGTAATGCTTTAATCAGAGTCACTTCTAGCCACTTGCAAACTGTTGCCAATCCAACATTGAAAGGATTCTTACTATCTCCAAATATAAACATGGGTCGAAAACGTCAGTCTGGGTGTTTCTATGAAGCCACAGAAAGCAATCAGCCAAAAGGACAAGGCAGTGCATACTTTGAGCTCACCCGTGTGAGACTGTTATATTTGTCTGGTTTTATCTACTTACCTGTTATCTTCATTCCACAGCAATCCAATTAGATCTCTAAATGTCTAAGGTCCTGTCACATGACTACACATCAGAACATTTTGAACAGCTTTCATAATTAATATGCCTCATACATTTGTCCTTGCAACTCTTGAGACTCTAGAGTTGTTCTTTTCCATCCTCCAGCTTCGACTGGTTGTAAGAAATATAAAAATGCTGTTCACTGATACATAACTTTCTGGGGCATCACTCAGATGGGAGGAGACACATTTCATCAGTACAGTCAACCACTTACCAATTAACTGAGTCTCAGTGTCATGGGTGGGAACTGCAAGACCAGTATCATCAAGATGTCCCCAAGGGAGAAGAGGCCTCAGAAATGGTTTGTGCCTGAATTGGGGTAAAACAGCCCAAGGGCCTTTGTGTTTTAATGGCAGCTAAACCACCACCAAAAAAGGGACACTTTTCAGTTTGATTCTAATGCTAATGTAATGAAAAGTAAAAAGAAAGATGATACTTGCTTTGATTTGATTATACATCAAATTATAATGGGACCAATTGTCCCTGGGGGGGTGTCACCAATGCATTCTCCTGGCGTGCAGGAACAAGCACCTCATGCCACCTTCATCCAGTGTGCTTTCATGTCTAATCAGAGAAAGTTTAATCACTACAACTTTTATTACCCCCAAATTCTCACAGACCTCTTTCCAGGCCACAGTCTCGTCCGAAGTACTGCATTCTCCATAGAAAATTGCTCACAAGATTTCTAAAATCTGTTGGATCACATCACAACTTTTCATTCACTATGCCCATTTTTTGTACTTAGTGAATTTTGTGTTCAGAACGTAAGAAGTACAGGCATACCTCACTTTATTGTGCTTTGCTTCATTGCGCTCCACAGATGCTGCATTTTTTTTACAAAGCGAAGGCAAGACCATCTACCAGCCAAAAGATTACAATTCGCTTTATTGCGAGAGTCGCTTTATTGCAGTGGTCTGGAACCGAACCTACAATATCTCCAAGTTATACCTATAAATCTATTATATCAATTATACTTTAAATGCATTTCTGATCCCGAAAAGAACAAATTTTTCCAAAAGATAAAAAAGCCAAGACCAAAAAATAGGGAGCTGAAATAAGAATGACAGATGATCTCAGAAAGTTGGTCAATCTTGGAACAACACTGATGCTGGGAATATTTAATACTGTTTTTGATAATAATAATTTTAGGATATATTGTTTGCTAAACTCTTATTAATTTCCAAGCCTGCTCTTGAGGGAAAATTAAGTAGTGATACTGAGATTTCTAGTAGGTAACTGGATCCATAGGGCCAATTAACCAAGATTCCTTCACTCATTAAACAGGTTTTATGTCAACTTTCAGAATATTTCTACTCTAAGCTGTCATTTTATCATTATCTTCCCCAACTTGAACCCTTGAAATGCAAGCTAGTCCCTCTCCTATACAACCCCAAAAATTTGGTTCTTAAAGAAGGCAACCATCCCCTATGTCCTCTCCCACCCCCCAGCCCACCATCAGAGGAGAATCTTAATGGCTCTGTGGGGAAGGAAAACAAATCAGGTCCCTTCATTTTCATAAAAATCATGACATTAAAATCAACCTGATCTTACTTCAATTACCATAGAAGATGTCTATACCAACCAGAATTTCTCTTATGCGCATTCCTTGAATTTCTATCAAGTGATCAAATCCTTTCCCCATATCCTCCGATGGCTCCCAGCTAGACTACATTTGAGAACCTCCCTTGCAGTTAGGTATGTGACCAAGTCCTGAACAATGAAACGTGCGTGGATGTGATGAAAACCTAGCATGGCCCATAAACTCAGCTACAGCTTCTCTTTGCCTTTCTCCATCCACTGGCTGAGTGGAGAGGCATTCAAGGACCACTAGAAAACAGAGCCACAAGGTGAGTTTTCTTTCTTCCAAATATTACTACCAAATACATTCTCCTTGTCATTGCTCTGGGTCATTTACATGCCAACCTGGAATTTAGGAGCAGACAAAATCATGTCTCCCATAAAGAATTAGTGCATTTACATTTATCAGACTAACTCTCATGTTTTGCATTGCCAGGAAATTTAGCTCTAAATATAAGGCCAATTTCTTAGTTATTTAACTGTTTGTTTAACATTATTTTAAGTTCTACTCATAAGTATTTTAAAATCTTCCTCAATTCTTTTTGGAATTGGATAAAATAGAAATGATTGTGAGTAAAATAAATGTTATTAAGCTTTTGCCTGTTTATATAATTCCCCATACCTGAAATTACTTATTTCCCCTTCTCTTTGTTCAATCATATTCAACCTTCCAGACCCAATACAAATACCACATCCACTATGAAGCTACATCCCCCATGACTTCAGCTTACGTTGTCCCTTCCTTTCTGATCTCCTAACGTACTTTTTGTCTAAAAAATGTGTTGCCATCTACATTAATGTTTCCCTACAGGCCCAGTGAACATCAAAGTGATCACCATCTCACCCTGCATACAGTTGTACTTTCAACATTCCACAAGAAATAAACCATCCTGTGGACACATCGAGGGCACATTTTTCTCCACCACGCATCCACAGCCCCCAGGGTAGGAACCACGAGTTCATGCCACAGATTTAGCCAGCTCGTAGACCTTTGCTTTCTGTTACCTTCTTTCTCATATTCAGAAGTAAAGCTTCCAGGGATCTGGTGCCAAGTGCTATCTGGTGCCATTGTGATATCTTCCTACAATCCTAGTAAAATGCTGGGGGTAAAGTATATTCTCAAATAGCTGACAGTAATTCTGAGACTGACAGTAGACTGGTCGAGGAAAAATAATTCAGCAGTGACTAAAACCAAAAATGTCCAAGGCTTTTAACCTCCCATGCAGGAATCACTTTGTCCCACACCCGAAAACTAAAAAATTCTGGCTCACCTTTCTTCTGGTTCATCTAAAAAGCTCTTCACCAGAAAGAACAAGGACTAGTAAAAGAGAATGAGCTCTGGAGTTCTGGCAAATAAAAAATAAAAAAATAGAATCTGAATCTTGCATCTGTTTGGTTACATGATGTTAGTCAAGTTCACTCAACTCCAGCTTTCTCTTTTCTAGGATAGAAATGATAGTCACCAACCTCAAAAAGTTGCATGAGGAACAAATAAGATATGGAAAAGTATATGACGCAGAGCCTTGCACACGGGCTCACTTAGTAATGTTTCCCCTCGCCCCTTCTAGAGAAATCTACTCCCTGATCTTCACTCCTGGTTCACTTCCTGTCTTAATGGTTATACACAATCAAACACATAGCTTCAATACTTCAGGAAAACCTATCCAGATGTATCATTCTCCACTGAAACTAGAATTTTAGGGGCTATGAGCCCCTAAATTGGAAACTTACAAGGTATCAAATCAGATTTGATTATATAATTTTTTTATGTTTTATAAAAATGAGGAAATAAGAAAATGTTCCTTTCAGGTAACCAAGATAGATCTGTATTTATTCCTGTCTCAGATACAACTACTTACTGGAGGAGAATAAAGGTACACCTCACAGATAAT